ACTCATATTCATCTTTTTGACACCCAGTCTAAGGAAAAACTGGTGGAGCTGCGCAGAGGCACTGAGCCTGCCACCCTTATATTGTGTTAACATCAGCCATGACTCCTCCTTCTTGTGTTTCCAATGATAAATCCATATCTTTCCTCTCACATATACTCGCCTCAAACACTGCTCTGTGCTGGCTTGTGTGGGCAAAACATAAAAGGGCAACACTAAACAAGAAAGTAATCAATGGTTTCGTAGGGCATTAAGAACTGTGATTGGGCCTATGATTGGGCAGTACATGGACTCTAAGTGGAGCCTGGCTAGCTTTACTGTTCCTGCTAAGTCAGCATGCATCTGCACCTTTGGTCACAAGAGTGTCAACTCTATAATTGCCACCTGCATTGATGGGACCTTCCATAAATGTCTTCACTCCTGATGGAAATTGCAACAGAGAGGTATTCGATGTATACCTTGACATCTGTGACAATGATAACTTTTAAGGACCCCAATGGCTGTGCTAGGAACCTGCGGCAACAGACTGCAGAGTTGAGCCCTCCACTCTTCTTGCAAGCAGAGCTATATCTAAATAAACAGCTCACTTCTCCCAAGTACTTTTTTGTGCCCAAGGCAAGAGCCATTTCCTATGTCACCTAGTCTGGAGAAGGTTCCCAAGGGCCAAAGAGAATGTCTTAATTCAACCTGGGGATTTAAAAAAGTTTACCAGGAGATGGTCTCCGATGTGATATACATGGATAAACAGCCTTTAAATGGCATAAAATACTATGTATTAGAATTATAATTATAGTCTATAAAGACTATGAAAATGCTGTTACTTTTATATTGCTTAATAAACTTACAAAGAATGAAATTTTATGTTTGTTTAAAAATAATAGGTTTTGGGGCTGGAGAGATGTGTTTAAGAGTACTTGCTGCTCTTGCAGAGGACCTGGGTTTAGTTCCTAGCACCTACATGGCAGCTTACAACCTTTCTTAACTCCAGATCCAGGGGATCTGACATCTTCTTCTGGCCTCCATGGTAATTTCATGCATGTGGTGCATTTGCATGCAGGTAAAACACTCACACATAAAAATAAATAAATTTTAAGAAATAATAGCTTTTGATATAACATAAAAGTTGATATTAATTTCTCTTGATATTATTGAATGTACTATTAAGTATTATTGCAATGCCATGGAAGCAAAGTGGACTGTGGTTAATACAACAGATATATAAACATATCCATACATGTCAGGCTGGCCTAGTGAAGATAAGGCAACTTAAAAAGAAAAAAGTATAAATTAAATTGCAGTGTAGGTGAAGAATTACAGAATATATATTTGATATTGGAATGGTGTAACATTGAATTATAGAAACATAAAATTTGTTGTTTTCCTTTTGCTAAACATAGAGTTATTGACTCATTTATCTAATTTTCTTCTACAGTATATGTTGATTGCCATATAATTGTGCTAGTGAATTCTTTGATATTATTTATTTAAGGACTCATTATTTTTAAAAAGGATTGTATATTTTAATTAAAGTGTGTATGACTTTGACCATGGAGTCTTAGAAAGTATGTTTTTAATCAGTAGGATATTACCTTATATCCTCAGAAGTCAGTGCACTAATAACTGATAGAAATAAGTTTTATGTAGACAATGTTGTATTTTTATCCAGCTGGCAATTTTGATTTTGTATATAACTCTGAAGCAATATGGTTTTCATATTATATAATATGAAATATTTCATAATATATAAAATTTATCTTTTTCTATACATTGAGGAATAGAAGAAATGTAACACAGCTCAGATTTTAGAATAGACAGTATCTGTGAGACAGTTCTTAATGCCCTAGGAAACCATTGTTACTTTCTTGGTTAGTGTTGCCCTTTTGTTTTGAACTGTATATAATCCCTCAATTAATACAATGTTATTTATTGGTAAAATTGCCTAAATTTTTTCTTTTTCTTTTTTTTTTTTTCAGTCTTTTTGAGACAGGGTCGCCCTGTAGCCACAGCTGGCCTGGATTCACTATGGAGACCAGGCTGGCCTCGAACTCAGAAAGATCTGCCTGCTTCTGCCTCCCGAGTGCTGGGATTAAAGGCGTGTGCTACCATGCCCAGCTAAATGTGTAGACCAAGCTGGCCTCAAACTCCAGATCCTCCTGCCTCTGCCTCTTCAGCATATCCTAACAGCATGTGCCACCATTAACTGGCCTAAATTTTCTTGTGCTTGATAGAAAAACAAAGATTAAATTAATTCTAACAGCAGAAGCTCTTAAAATGTAGAATGTATACTGCTAAATTTGAATTTAAATAAACTCTCCATGCTTATCATTACATGGATAGTATCTTAAGACAAGTAATTATGGATTAAGACGTGCCTAGAATAGGAAAAGGACATTACATGATTTTATGGAGGCACAAACAAACCCATTAACCATTGGCTGGAGTACCAAGTAGTAGAAAGAGTGGTGGCAATTTTATTTATCAATATTAAGCACAATTATTATTTTTTAATTGAATTTTTGAAAGTTTTATACAGTATATTTTGGCCATATTTAGACCCCTCTCTCGTATCTGCACCACTCTTAAAAACCGCTGGCTGATTTCATATACTCTGTCATTTATTTTAAGGCCTAGTGAGCAAGTTTATACCCTCAAATGTCCATTCAAATGTAGGTTCATCACTGGAGCCTAGTTCACCTAACTAGTGTCACACCCTTAAAGGAGACCTTCTCTCCCTCTCCCAGTAGTTATCGGTTGCCAGTAGTCCCTCAGCCAAGGTCGGGGCTTCTTTCTCACTTCCCCACTTTTATGCTGGGATTTTTTTTTTTTGGCTTGAGCTTGCATGGGTCTTGTGCATTCTTTTGTCACTGCTGCAAATTCTATTTCCTTGTGGTTACCCACTAGCTCTGGCTCTTACAGTCTTTCTGCCCCTCTGCTGCAAGGGTCCCTGAGCCTTGGGTGGCAGAGGTTTGTTGTAGGTGTCCTGTTCAGGGATAAGTTCTCTGCAGTCTCTTGTTCTCTGCACGTTGGCCAGATGTGGCTTTCTGAGTGCCTTAGTTACTTTTCTGTTGCTGTGAGAAAACACCAGGACCAAGGGAACTTTATAAAGAAGAGTTTATTTGAGCTTACAGTTCCAGAGGAATCATAGTCCATCATGGTGGGGAGGCATGGTGGCAAGACGTGGCTGGAGTAGAAAATGGAGAGCTCACATTTTCAAGCAGGCACCAGAAGCAGAGGGAGTGACTAGAATTGGGCAAAACAAGAACTCTCAAAGCCCACCCCCAGTGATGTGCTTCCTCCAGGAAGGCCACACCTTCTAATACCTCCCAAAACAGTGCCACCAAATGGGGACAAAATGTCCAAAATGCTTGGCGCCTATGGGGGACATTCTTATTCAAACTACTAAACTGGGTTAATCATCATCTGTTGGATGAGGAAGCTTTGTGGTAAGAGTTGAGAGATGTATTAATATTCTTTTCTCGAACCCTGTTCCTCTGTATTCCCTGAGCCTTAGGTATAGAGGTTGCATTGTAGATGTCAGTTAGGGCTGGGCACCTTACAGACACTTATTTTCTGCATTTGACCAGTTATGGAACTCTATAATAGTCTCCATTGTTGCAAAAAGAAGCTTCTTTGAAGAGTGGTGAGAGATAAATATAAGGATACATATTTAGAATACAGTGAAAAATTATGTTGATCTAGCAATGTGACAAAAGTAGGTTTTTTTTCTCTATGACCTCTCTAGCCATGTGTACTTGGCTATGTTTACAGTACCACACATGAGTTCCCTTGTATTGAGCAGGCCTTAAGTCTAAATAGACAGTTGTTGATTACTCCTTAGGTCAAAGTGCTACTACTATACCAGTAAAGATTATTTGCTGGGCTGGTCATTGTTGTGGTTCATAGACTTTACAGTTGGATGGAATCATTGATTGGTTTTCTCCCTTGTCAGTTTGCATGATATTTTCTTATAGTGTGGGAACCAGTCTTCAGGGAAGAGTCTTCCAGATTGGCTCTAGCTCCATTCTTCCAACTCCTGTGTCTGAACTATGTCCTGTCTTCAGCAATAGTATATTACTTTCAAATTCTAGGAGGCAGTCAAGGACTGTGGCAATAGCGTCTGTTATTTGGGGAGTCTCTTGGACTCGCCTTACCAACCACTTGAAGGGAGATTTACCCTTCCTGGCACTGTGTTTTTCATTATATAGCCTTCAGCTATACACATGCATATAAATAAATAAATATATATATATATAGTGTGTGTGTATGTGTGTGTATTTCAGTAGTCTTTTGAACATTTTCCTCTGGTTTTAACACCACCTAAGTGTTATTTATATCTCTTCCCTCTACCTCTGTACAGCCTTCCCAATTCCTTCCCCAGTTAAAGTATCCCCCATCCTCCTCATTTCCCCCTTGATAACACCTGTTTCCTACTACCCTCCTCTAGAGCTCCTTTCCCCCCTTCATCCCCATGGTTCTTTTCTATTTTCCTGGCTCATACATTTACATCAGTATATAAACTCACTGATGAATCTAGTAGTAAGCAGGCCATGTTAGATACGCAAGCACTTCAGTCCATTAAATGAGGGGGATGATTACTGCATTGTGGGATTTTAATTGTCTTGGAATAGGGAAAATTATATCTTCTTATCTGAGAATATAGGTAGTATGATACTAAGGTAATGTGCTATAGTAATTGTGAATAGAAAATGAGCTTATAGAAAGTTTTAGAACAAGGAAAAGATAGATGAATTTTTAGTGTGATAGTGTTCCATGTGAATGACATAAATTCATGAAGGTTTTCTTTAGACATATTGTTTAGTAGCCGAGCTATTTTCTGGTTCCTCTTTTCATATTGAAAATTAATGAGGAAGGGTCTTTTCAAATGAATACCAAAGGTGAGTGGGAATTATATAATTAAAAATTATACCTTTTGTGATCAGCAATGTTCTGAGATTAACATGAGATGACTCATACTTTTTGTGTTTTTTTCTTTTTCGTTGAAGATCCAAATTCTAGAATTTGTGGACATTTACTCATAGGTGCAGCCAAGAATTCCTTTGCAAAACTCATGGATAAAATTAGTTTGGCAATGGATAGCATACCCCTGCGAAGTAGCCGGAGTATAACATATGTAGAGAAAGACTCCCTAGTTCAGAGACTAGCCCGTGGACTTCACAAAGTGAACACATTGGCCCTGAAATATGGTTTGTGTGGCCATATGCCCATTATGGTATGTACAAATTCCATTTATTAGTGACTTCAGTACTTATACATAAGTTTGAATGATACTTAGTGCAGTTTAAGTTATTTGCATATTAATGTATTTAGTTTTGTATAAACTTTTAATACAATAAATAAAGCCCCCTGATAAGTTCACCTATGGTTTGGAAATAACTGTAATTATTAAATTAGTAATAATTTAGTAAGCTGTTGATTTATTAGTAAACTTGTAGCTGATGCTTGTAACCTTGCTGTTGTAACAGAAAAGTACCGCGTCATTACAAAAGCAGATATTTGGATTTACACAAAGGCTGCATGCGGCAGAAGTGGAGCGCCGCTCACTGCGCCTGGAGGTCACAGAATTCAAACGAATTGTGAATGAGATGAAAAAGGAGCTCGACAAGGCGCAGAATCTGCAGGTGCAATTAAATGAATTCAAGCACTCTGTAAGTAGATTTAACAAACTATGACTTTGGCAATGTCTGTCTCTTTCTTTAACCCTCATTGTTTTGTTATTAAAGGCAAATCAGTGATACGTCAGTAGGATTGCTTTGTTTTAAAAAATCTCTGTTTTCTTCATTGTTATTATTATTACTGTGTGTGTGAATGTGTGTGTATGTGCGTGTATGGTGTGCATGTGTGAGTGTGGACATGCCCGTGCAGTGTGCATGTGGAAGTTGGAGGACAACTTTAAGGAGTTGGTTCTCCCTTTTCACCACGGGGTCTGGGAGTAGAACTCAGCTTGTCCGGCTTGAACGGCAGGGGCTTGTACCTGCTGAACTGTCTTTCCTTTCTAGGATTGCCTTATTAGGGCATAAGTATATATACTAATTAAAAAAACCTTTTTATTCATTTATTTTATGTGCATGACTGTTTTGGCTGCATGTGCAGTGCCCATGGAGATCAGAAGAGAGAGTCAGATCCCCTGGAACTGGAGTCACAGATGGTTGTTAGTTGCCATATGGGTTTTGGGAATGGAACCCGAATGCCTTGCAAGAGCAGCCTTAATTGCTGAGCTGTCTCTCCAGCCCCTTAAAGCATATATTTTTTATTTTAATTCAAATTTGTATTTGTCAAATTGATATAGGCATATGATTAGCAAAACTAATAGCCTGAAAAGCTATGTTTAAATGTAGCAGATTAAATAGATTACTTTTACCTCAGAAAACTTTCCCTGTTAAATTCCTTCAGTAGTGGAACCTGTTGTTTTGGGAAGAGAATTTCATGTCCTCTTTTCTTAAATGTAGGAATACTTTGATAAATTAGATTGTTCAAGTTGAAACTTACCTTTGCGAGTTAAGTGTTCATTTGTTTTTCATTAAAGGTTTAAATATGCATATATTTTAAATATTGTTAATACTGAAAAAGAAAGGCTATTTTCCAAAAAGCTTTAAATCAAGATAAAAATAGATAAAGCACACTAAAAATGCGGCATCAAGCTGTTCTGTTTTCAGCTGAGTTAGTTATGAACCTGTGCATATAGAAACATAGAGATAAAAGATTACCTTGGGGCTGGGGATACTGGCTCAGCAGGCAAAGACCCTTGCCACCAACCCTGACAGCCTGGGTTTAATCCCAGGATCCGCATGGTGGAATGAGAGAACTGACTCCTGCAAGCTGTGTTCTGACCTCCACAATGGGTGCAAACCACCCCAGAAATAAATGTAAGAAAAAGAAAAAGATTACTCTGAAACTTTAAAACTGTCATCAAACTAATGTCAGTGAATGCAAAACTTTTTCCCTGTACAGAGCAACAAGCTATTTTCCCCTAGCTAGATTAGAAACCCAATCTTCACAAGCTTGACTTCAGGTTAAAGATACTTTTAATTGTACCTTTTGGCTAATTAAAAAATTACAGTCTTAATTCAAAAATTGCAGTAACAGAGGAAGCAGCAGGTAGTAGTTATTAATCCTAGCGTAATACAAGCTGATCTTACTATTTCAATAGATCTATGCCTTCAAAGGGTGAAGGAGCCCTACCAGTTAATCATGAATTGTTCTCCAGCCACTGTTTCCTTTTAAACAAATGTTAATGAAAGAAATTTCCTTTCATTTTCTTAGTTTTTGTTTTAGAGAGGGAAATAGATGTTTAGAGCTTTTTCTCATTTATAAAAGTTATACATGATTATCATAATAAAAGTATATAGTAAGAGGAAAGTTTGTGATTCTAATCTTACCCCAAAACAAATAAAAATCAAGAATTCGAAAGATGAATGTGTATGTTACTCCAATCTTACCCATCAACCACTTTTCAACATTGGAGTATGGATTATTTTGCTCCCCACATTTTCTTAGTGTTGTTCAACAATGTGCATTTTCATGCCTCATGGACAGTCATGGTTTGGAATATATTTGTAAGTACAGTTTGCATCCTAACTTCCATAAGTGAATATTTTCTTATGCCATTAATTATTTGTTTTAGATAAATGAATGCTATTTAAAATTTTTGTGTTCCCCATTCATAGACTTATAATTTTTTCCATTTTTTTGTTATTATATTGAAATGATAATAAACTGTATTTTAAAAATGCAGATTTCTTTGGCAATTTCCCTGCTTTCTTTTTAGCTTATATCCAGTCATATATATAAAATGAATTTCAATCAGAGATGATCTGCCAAAATGGGTAGAGTCATTTATACAATTTGTGATTTTGAAAGTATTCACTATATTAGCTTTAAACAATAGTGAGTGTCCTATTCCTTTTATTTATGTCATTCCCTAGAATATGTGTGAAGAAAGAATATGTGTGCACAATTTTATTTTCTAGTTCACGCTTTAGTCTTAGAATAAGTTATCATCTTATTTTTGATTAGCCATCAGCACTCAATATCTGCAATCTAGAGAGAAGGTTTAAGTTTGAAGCAAAACTGGTGGGAGGAGAAAGCATTTTCTTGCAAAGGGTTTATTTGAGGTACTAAGAATATGTTTCAGGAAATGTTTAATGTGAATTACTTCCTAAAACAAAGTTTAGGAATAAGCTGAGGTTTAGGAATAAGATGAGGGGTTAATTGAACAAATAATTGATGGAATAATAGCCATAATTTTTATATTTTACTATATTATTTTAAGTTTCAAAATGATGAGTTCTAGAATTTAATGTTTTTATCATGTATTAAGTACTTCCCCTCAACTTTTTACAGAAGTTGATTCATTTTTTTCTAATAATAATCTCACATAAGTCAAAAGTTAATATAATTAACTTCATTTTACAGTTAAGGCAGAAGAGTTAAAACCATGTAGTTAAGAAGCTGGTGGGACTGGAGATGGCTCAGCACCCAAGAGTACTTGATGCTTTTGCAGAGGACCTGGGCTTGGCTCCCAGTGCCCACATCAGGTGGCTCACAATAACCTATAATTCCAGTTCCTAGAGACTCAGCATCCTTTTCTGGCTTCTGCAGGCATTTGACTGCATGTGGTACGAATAAATATACCCCGACCCACACACGTACACATAAAATAAAAAACAAAATAATCCAAAAACAAAATTAAATAAAACAGCAACAAAAAAGAAGTTATCACAAGATTTGATCCTGGATACTCTGTCTCCCAAATTCATGTTTTTGATAACTTCATTATAGTGGTTAACATGTATACCTAACTGTGTTTGTAAATATTTGTTTTATGAGAAACACAATGGATGGAAAAAAAGATTCTATTTTCCCCTCAAAATTGGAACTGTGATATGTGGTCAGAATACCTTGTATGAAATTCCAGGTTGCATGTTGGGAGGAGATTGCTGAGCTGATGCTTGGCAAGTGGAGGGTTTAGCTGTAATTGAATTATATGGGGAACTGCACAGCTGTGAGAGGGACTGAAAATGAGAGTGTTTCATGAAATCTAAGGGATCTCAGGCAATGAGGTGGCTTTTTTGGGGGCCCTGTGATCAGTCTTATCACTTGATATTTACTTAGATAAACTAGGCATATATTTTTGTACTACACACTCGCCTTTACAAATTTCATCATTGTTGAGAAATGCATTATATATATTCTTGAAAAAAGGAGACAGTTTCTATATGGAGGTGGCAGGGAAGGTATGTGGTACCAAATAGAAATGGTATGTGTGTGTGTGTGTGTGTGTGTGTGTGTGTGTGTATATATATATATAT